AGTGTTCTCCCCAGAAATTTTTCATAGATTTGCGGCTAATTTGCATAATAATTAGCATATAATTAGCATACATTTACATATTGTTTGTCATATGGGGAAATAAAACAAGACCATTTTTTTTTCCTTTTTTTCTATTTATTTTATGTACAATCTGTATACAATTATTGCACTGCATGTTTAGTATTGCAAATGTCCCGCAGAAATACTGAGTTTTCTGTTTCTTTGCTTGACCCAGCAATCAGCAACTGTATAAAACCCTGTTCAGTCCTGGTAAATTAAACATGGGGTTGATTATTCTCATTGCTTGTCTTCCGTTTCTGTTGTTTTCCGGTTAAGTACAACAACTGTTACGAGTCACGATACTTACGCTACTATGTTCGAGCAATAATAGTTTTTCTGGCTGAAATTATCCATCTTTATGTATTTTTTTTAATCATCGATGTTGTCTGTTCAACACAATTGTGAACAATTCGAGACAACGGAGGTTTGAATTACGAATTGTCGCCATTGTTATACCACTTAAAATTGAGGCTTTTCTTCCAAGAAATAACACAAGTGTCACTCCAATTTCCACACGTTTCTTGATTAGAATTCCCGATTTCTTGATAAATATATTATTTTCAATTATGCTTCACTTAATCCATCCGAATCTGAGCACGATATGCGATCCGAGTGGGAAGTTCACGCTCGCTGGATCTTACGTGAGTGACGACATCTTGGATTCACAATCACGAGGTCAAAATTGTTTACATCATTAGTATATATTTTTTTCACATTTTGATCTCAAAAAACAAATACAATATCAAAAATGCTGACAAAAATCAAAACTTAGAATAATAGTACGACTACATTTCTAAAAATAATAATGAAAATACGTTTTGTACACACCGGAAACATGTGGCTTTTGACCCCAAGTGTGACTATATCATTTGCATATGAATATACGTTTGGCAAAGAGCGTTTGACACCGGGGCTTACGGCTTTGTCTTTATAGAACTGCTTTGTTTTTTTAAAACGATATCCAACCAATGAGAAACAACAGGGGATTATCCCGGGAAATTGGCGTTAATACAATGCATTTGTAGATTTAACTAGTTAGCCAGGAAACTTTACAGTCTGTGAGAGACTGAAGAAATCAGATCACGTGATAAATAATAGCATCGCGGAGGAAACACATAGCGTCACGGGAAAATTCGATCGTGTCGTGGCCCGCGACGCTGTTTTGGCCTGGGGAGAACACTGAATCAGCTTCCCTTTCAACATTGCAATATTCCGCGACAGAGCATTGTCAGTTGTGTTTGTTTTGGCTTCAGAACATTCATTCGCAAGCCAAAGCTTCTGGACACAACCAATTTCACAAGGGATAAGCATAATTTTAGTGCGGTGAAAACCTCGGATTTAAACACAATGAGTGTGAATAATTGTGTGAAATATGAAAATGGTGAATTATTCAATACTACGATCATTCTACATTTGTCCACAGTGAATTATTATTTGATTTGATTTCAAGCATACAAATAAAGTGAGACTTTCCAATATATGAAAATGAGTGTTATAGCAGTTACAACAAACACTGCTGGCAATGGACATAGAAGTCTTACAATACAAGGAAGAATGAGAGTCAATCAGAGAGCAGCTTGCTTATTGACAGATTTTTTCGACGCATCAAATTTTGCCTTGTATGCTTTGGCTCAACTGAAGATAGGGAGATTGTGGTTTTCCTATTCAGTTTATTTCACACTGCTTTACTGTAAAAGATTTGTTTGTCCTCACAGACATCAGTTTGTCCTGCATTGTTTAGTGCAAAGGAATAACAAATACCGATATGATTTTTCTATTCAATGAAAGTTTGCAAAATTCAAAGGACAACCTACTACAATAATCAACATATTTGGCACAAAACTGAAGTTATTAGAGTAAAATATTTGCAATTCAATTACATATTTACAAAGATCTTAAATATGAAAAAAAAAATTTTTGTTTAATGTGGCATTTTGTGGATCAAATTTAATTATGAGTTATCGTACATTAAAAATTTTGCTTTTGAAGTGGTTGGATGAAAAATGAAAACACCTTATACGGATGCGTGGCAATTGTTATTGTACGTACAAAAATAATTCCTACATTAGTGAGTTGCATTGTTACTTTGAATCAATACCTTGATATGAGCTTAAAACGTTTTCATTTCATGATAAACCATAATCCAATGTACTCATCAACATGCAGTATAAAACAGCAGTATTAAAAATTCAATGTTCTCATCCAGATTTCATCTTTAAGTTTATTATAATTTTTGCGAATTTCGCGAGTCACTCGCTGAAAATTGTTATTGGGTCATTCGACATGAAACGTCAGTGACTTTCGCCGTAATTCAGTTTACGAATACCATAAAATCCTGAAATCACGAAAATTTCTGGCAGTGGAAATTAAACAGTTTACCATACTTTAATAATGTGATGCAATTTTCAAGTCAAATTAGCAAATCGAAATGGTAAGAAAAGCTCATCAGAACATAACTGTTATTTTGTAGGTATTTCAATAGAAAGCCTGAGTCACAATCCTCATAGCAGTACACATATACTTTCAAATCTATTGTCAAATGTACAGTTACAACAAAGATATCAAACGCAATGGATTCCACAGTCATGTAAGTAGACGTTGTTCATTACTGCATGAAATACACTAGAATTGAACATCTGTTCTTTGTATCTGTAACCTTTATCATTTGTGTCCCCACGTAACATGTCCTGCCTAATGTTGGATTGGGGGGGGGGGGGGGGGGGTTACATGATCATTTAATAGCAAGAATTGATGCTGTAAATTCTTAAGTGTATTTGAAGTTATTTTCTTTTATATATTATTGTTATGTGTTGACTTGGGAACACACAAAACATCAAAGAAACCAGTAGGCTATTCCGCCATTTTCAATTACATCAAGGACACTACTTTCCACATATCAATACACTTGGGTTATCAGGTGACATATAACGCCATTACAAAAGTATGTATTCTGCCACATGTGATAAAGTATTCCCAAAAACGTCCCAATTATCTAACAGAAGTTGACTGACAAAGTGATGATTGTCTTCCATTTGATACTTGGTTGAAACCTCGTATTTACAAGACAGGAAGTTCTTCACAGTTATTGGATATGTTCTTTGAAATACTCAAAATTGTGATTTTATTCAGTTTTTCAGCAGAGAAGAGGATTCAAAACAAGAAGATCAATTCCCACTCCACCAATGAAGTCGAGCAGTCTGAAACTAGCCATGCCTTCAGAACAGACACCTGGTTTGGGAAGTTTAGACACCATTCTACAGGTTGGTTTAATCATTGTCAGCTTTTCTGATTAAATGTACCTTGTCATTGGCAACTGGCAAATTAGCAGAAACTCTGGTTTTGAAAATCCCAGCAAAATATATGTGCGTTATTCGATTTAGGTAATCAGGTAATCAAACTATGTGGCTTCACTATCGGTTTATTTTTACGCTTGACACTCATACCAGTTAAAACAAGAAAAGCAGATTCTTGGCATACATGTATCTTCAATTGAAAGTTAGTTCTTTACTTTATGAGAAATGTTACTATTTATTTTTTTATTTTGTGTTTGAATAGAATTTAAGCAGCAAAGAAAAGGTGAATTTATCAGAGAATATTGAGAAAGCACTGAGATCAGAAAAAATCCAGGAAAATGAAAGAGATTCCTTCAAAACTGGCTTTGTGGAAGGATATCTCAGATCTCAGAAAGAAATAAAAAAATCAGGTAAGACACTTTAAATGTTTAAAAATCTTTTGCTAAAGGTCATTCATGGAAACAGAAATAAACACAACATGACCTTATCTACCAAAACGACTCATTCCATCCTAATCAACTGAACCCTATCTTACCCAACCTTATCACCTTGGATGCGTGTGTGAATAATGTAATGCAGCACAACCCAACCAACCTATCCTTACCCAACCCAAAGCAATACACCACAAAACACATCCCATTCTTATCAACTCAACATTATCTAACCCAACCTATCCCAGTCAACTCAACCTTATCTTACCTTACCTTACCTAACCCATCCAAGCCTTATCCTACCCATCCTAACCTTGTCCTTTCCTATTCAACTCATCCCAGCTTTACTCTATTCGTCCAACTCTACCTTACCCAATCCAACCCATCTGAATCTCATCTTGCCCCTTTTACACAACCCAACCTATCTCAACCTTATCCATGCTAATACTGCATCATATCTAACTATTATTCTTGGTTAATGTTTTCTCTTTAGATAATTACAGTCGATGGTTAAGTGTCATCTTAATTGCAATCATTGTATATTGCATTTACAAGCTGTCCCTTGTTGGTGAGTACAATCTTTCATCTCTACGTCTTTTCTAACTATTGTACGTTTATTCATATACACATAATAAATACGCAATGGATCATCATTCAAATTTCTACCCAAATTGACTGTTCAAGACTTGTGTACAAAATATTGAAGTGTGCATTAACCCTAAATTAGCACATAGTTATCTTGAGCATTTCTGGAGGATGGAAACATGATTTACATATGAACATATTGACTGTGTAATAACGCCAACTAGTTTTCTCCTCAGCTCGCGTGTCGATATCCACTGCCCAGGTTGATGCCATGAATGTTAAGAATATTGGTTTTGATGACGTCCAAGGGGTAAGTTAATGCTGACAGTAGAAGTATTTTTAGTTCTATGTGATCGCAAAACTAGGTGTATCAATGTTTGTTTCATGCCTTCACTTTCCTCCAATGAATACTAACAGCAGGAGTATTTTGCTGTCCAGTGAAGGCTGTACTGACCATTGTATGGACAGTTACTATGATTTTTTCAAGATCGCAAACGTCTGCTGTAGTGTGTTTACCATGTGTGTCTATGATTAATTTGGAAAGACGTTTAATTAAATATGGCAGTCTGAATATGTGCATTGTAATCCCACACAAGGATAATATTTATTTTCCTAATGTTGAGCCAATCATCTGTGCCTGTGACAAATGCATTTATTCAGCCAGAGATGTTTAAGAGTGCATTTTTCCCCAAGTCATAAGGACTTTATCTTGTCCTCAACATGCTTAAATAAACTTGAACTTTTATATCATAGATTACTGTAAAATGCTTTAATTTTGAAAAGGACAAATTTCGCAAGTCGCTATAAATCATGAAGCACTGATAAAATCAGGGAAATTCCTAACAGTGCAAATTATGTTGTACATAATCTCCTTAAACACTGATGTTTGTATTTTATAGGTTGAAGAAGCTAAACAGGAACTTAAGGATGTCGTATCATTTCTCCAAGATCCTGAGAAGTACACATCTCTTGGTGGTAAACTACCAAAAGGTAATAAACATTAGTGGGATCAGTAATATTAAGCTAACCACAACAATTTGTTGTATTTCAACTTTGTGTGAAGATTGGTGGTTAGGACTTTTATTTTTGTGATCTAAGGAGTTTGTTCTCACAAGTCATCCATCGTGTTGTGAAAATGGTTTGCTTGTTGGTAATTGTTAGTCTTAAAAAATGAAATGTGCTAAAGATAGGTGGTAGTAAAATGTCTGTGCAGTTAGTTATATAAACAAGTGAAGCTGAACTAGTCACCCCCGAGGGCGCTAGTAGAGGAATTGAATGTCAAGCACTATGAGTATTCTCACATGTGCAAACTGACCACTTAGGTTTGTGTTAATTCTACAGGAGTGTTACTCGTTGGTCCACCTGGCACTGGAAAGACGTTACTAGCAAGAGCCGTTGCTGGGGAGGCTGATGTGCCGTTCTTCTATGCATCGGGATCGGAGTTCGACAACATGTTTGTGGGATCTGGAGCCAGGAGAGTGCGAGATTTATTTGCCGAGGCCAAAGCCAACACACCATGTGTGATCTTTGTTGATGAGTTAGATTCAGTTGGTGGCAAGCGAGTTGATTCGCCATTGCATCCATATTCCAGACAAACGATTAATCAGTTACTGGCAGAAATGGATGGGTTTAAACAGAATGAAGGAGTCATTGTAATTGGAGCTACTAACTTTGCGGAAGCACTTGATAGGTAATTTTACTACGCAACATGTCTTGCTTTAATTATTTTCAAATCTGCAAAGACTTTGTTTACACTGATGCATATATTTATCTGTGAAATTAATAAATTGAATTGGTTGCTTTGTCTCAGTGGTTGTCAATCCATTATTAACACAAACTTTATAAATATAATATCAATTCCCCCCTCTATAGTGCATTGACAAGACCAGGTCGTTTTGATATGCAAGTCGTTGTACCTAAACCTGATGTGAGAGGACGCATGGAAATCCTGACGCTATATCTGGGAAAGGTCAAAGTCGATGCTGGTAGGTCAAAGCTGATTGTGATTCTGTGAAGGTTAAGATGACGTCCAGTTTTTAGACATTTTGTTAGAACCAGTGCTTTCCATGCTCTAATTTAGACATCGGGAACAAGTTCAAAGCCTTAATTTCGAAATAGGGAGTACGTCACGAAATATTGAAAAATTACTCTCAATCAAAAAAAAAAAGCTGTTCACATGATAAAAAATAATAATAATTTTGTTGAATTTAACACTTTTTACAATGATAACAGCTCATTGTCGAAACACAGTTTACCCATTTACGCTTAGAACAATAAACATTGTACTCTTGAATAGGCATCAATGACTTCGGAAAACCTAAATTAGACTGTAATCTAGGCGTCAGGAACGATTGAAATGTTCGAAAAAATGATGCCTTAATTTAAAATTAAACGGTACATCTTTTTCCGAAATATGTGGTGGCTGTTTGGTTTGTGAAAGTTTTGGGTGCGGCTTATATTGCAGCGTTCAAAACTTCAAAACAATATCAACATAAAACAATGTCTCAAGTTAGAGGTGCGGCTTCTATTAAAGCTGCAATCTTAAATATGATTTTTACAGTATAGCTTATTTTTAAAAGTAACTGAATATTTGATTGGAAAGACTT